TAGTAGTATTAGTAGTAGTACCAGTAGCAGTAGCAGTAGCAGTAGTAGTAGTAGTAGTAGTAGTCGTGGTCGTGGCGGTGGTGGTGGTGGTGGTGGTGGTGGGGGTAGTGGTAGTCGTCGTCGTAGTCGTAGAAATACTGATGGACGAGCCATAGCCTTGCAGTAGGTGGACTCCGCCTATATGTATCTCGCTTCGACCGGAACCATATCCCATCCAACGCAGCACCACCACTCTACGTCTACGTCATGCCGTCGGTGTATTGACTCGGTCATTCAGCACAAACCTCACTAAGGATTGAATGAGGGTCTGCAAATTGCGGCTTCGTGGGTAAGCTTTCGGCTTGGCCTTCACATAGGACTGTGTCGGTGCCCCGGTCTAGAACAGCACGGACGACAGGCAGAGTGGACTGTGATGGAGAGTGTTCATGACGGCTTTGTGTGCTGTGTTTGTGCACGCCGTCTGTGTGTGTGTGTGTGTGCCGGCAGCCGGGCCAAGGTTGTCCACCAAAGACTAAATCCAACAAACTGTCGTGTTTGGGTGGCTGCATTGTGGAGGCACCGATTTTCCTGGCAGTGGCTTTTGATTGTATCCCAAAGCCAGTTAGGGCATTGCACCCCCTCGGCGACGACCCTGCGAGTACATCTTGTCCTTGCCAGCTGAACAAGGCCCGAAGTCATAATTCGTTGGAAACAACATATGTGCAAGAAACTCTTGCGCAACAACATCGGCATTCATCGACAACCCAACTTGTCAAGTATCGCAATGCAGGGACCGCATGGTTTGCACGCGAAAGACGAGACTTACCATGACGAACCTCTGCTGCACTGCAACGTCTGGGCACCCTGCTTTCGCCTGTGCTGCAGATGGCAGCAGCAGTGCTGCAGTGGAAAGAGCTGCTGGATGGATCTGCGCCGGCTCAGGTCATAGTCTTTTGCAAGAAAGGATCGTTCAGCATTTTCTCTGCTACAACAGATTTTTGAGTGCGAACATTGAAGCCGGGAAGGCAGTGGAGTCACCGAAGTCGCAACTTCCGGAAGCTGCGAACGTCCAAGCAACATCGTCGCACCAACATGCCCATACCAATGAAGACTCTCCCGGACTCCCGTGGCTTACCCGCCTTCAGCGGCTTGCCGGCATCGTCCCTGCCAGTTACACTGCCTGCCACATGCTTTTGATCTTTGCTGGAAGCATCTTGGTATCCTTGCTGGTATACTGTGGTGCTGCTGCTAATCTCCAAATGCAGATGCGCTACATAATCGGCAGGAGTTATGCGATGGCGGAATGACTTGCAGGCGCTTATGCGACCGATGCCCCTGTCTATATCAGCTTTTATTCGTCTTTCCCAGACCTGGCTGCGAGGCTCGCTGCAGGATGAAGGCATTCAACTCTTCGGAGCACCACCTTCGCGCCGCAACGCCCGCAACGATCACTACCCCGTCAGTGACCTTAATTTTCACACGACACCTGTCCCTGAGTGTTCTTGTCCCACGTATAAAGACAGCTGGCACGACATACGGTCTAAGCTCAAGCAGCTGAAGGCAAAGGCAAAACGGTAGTCCCTCGCTAATTGCCACTGGCACCTGCTCCCGAAGGCTAGCAGCGCGACCAGGAACAATGGCAGCAAAAAGGCCCTGCGAATTTAACCAGCATGTGATGCGCACACAGCGATGCTGCCTCTTGCCGGCTTCAGAAGGCATGTTTTTGTTTCTTGCAGCTTCTTTAGGGCTCCACAAGAGGGTCTACTTCCCTTCTCAGTCGTGTTGGATGGCGCCGAATCGCATGTTCCCTCTTGCAAGTTCAGTCCGGTCATCCAGCATGCCGGTTTGCCGCCTGCAAACGATGGGCTGGGAGTAGACGACAGGTTTCTGCACCCTGTGCGACAGTTTGCTGCCAGAAGGCAAACCCCGCCCCCCCCCCCCAGCAGGAAGAACCCCTCTCAAGAGACGACCAATACGAAGACCTGAATGTGGTCTTTGGTGGCCAAAGCCTTGGACGGGCTGGTGTCTGGGCGAGAAGCTGTTCTGCATGGGTTGCCTGAGCCAGACCCTGTCAAAGGCTCCAAACCTCGCTTCTCGCTTGGTTTGCCCGATATGTGCTTTTCAGATTTCAGAAGGCGTCAGCTTTGTGTGAAGGTACCGGGAGAGGGGTGGCGGTTCGGGGCGCGGATTTGGAAGCTCTTCGGATGTCAGCAACCGAAAACGTTCACTCGGCTGACCCGTGTAGACATCAAGCGACTTGGAAGGGTCGCCTTCGCCTCGCCATGACTTGTTGACGGTCCATACAGGGTTTGTGGCTTCTTGAGCACTTCGCGGCAGTGCGGAAGAAGGTGCCGATGCCACCACATGCAGTATCATAAGTCATGTCTTGGTGACACCGTCAAGTCGTTCCAGACATTAAGTACATTGATGAAGTCCTTGTGGGGCTCGAACCTCGCAAAGCTCAAGGTGCAGCTTCGGCGGGCGGCGAGTGGTTGACAACATTCGCTGTCCTACCTGGTTTCACCATCCCCCGCATTAGACTCATGAGGCACACCTGGATGAACACGGCCGTGCTTGTCCCCCACATGCATCAGTTGCAGCCGGTCTGTCAATGTTGTTTACCATACGATGTAACATCTCGAAACCAGCAATGGCTGCGCTGAAGGCACAAAGCAATGCACCATGCCGCACAGGAGTGCTGGTAGGGCATGCAAGGCAAAAGGACGACAATGCGCATGATTTCGAAAGGAATCCACCCCGAGAGCTGTCCTTGCAGTGATGATATTCACCCTCTGCACGCGAAACAAGACTATGCCGGTCACTCGATTCCCACTGCTCTGTTCGGCGGCACAGTACAGCACACTGCGTGAGTCCGCAGATTCTCTGCAACTCAGGTAAGCGGTGTAAGCTTTGCAGAGAGCTCAAACAGGCCCCCCACGAATTGTTGCAGCCGTTCCTCGAATCTGGTTCCGGAGTGTCACATGGATGAATAAAACTGCTTTCACTCTGGGTCTGTCTGCAAACGGCAGGTCGGCTGTTTTATTGCACGATTTCCATGGCTCCATGCTGTCGAACTTGGCAGCTGGCTCACATGTTGTCTTGATGCTTCGTCATCGAAGACGTCCTTAGCAAATGTTCCGCCGACAATCAACCGATGAGAGCGCCATCGAGCCACCTGACGTAGGGTTACTGAAGGCCTGGCGAGCGGCGACTTCGGGTACGAGATGCGCTTTGCTCCGGTCGTAAGGCGAGGTAGCACACCATCTTCACCTGGCTCCAGCGCCGTGTTTTCACCATGGAGAACACACACCTGACAACTCAGGTGGTGGCTTAAGTGCCAACCAATCTCACTGTTGATGCTGGGTGGATAGGAGTACAAGTCCCTCGGCGAGTACATGGACCTGCGCGAGGCACGCAAAGAGGCTTGAGACGAGACCACAGCACCCTGTCACGCGCTGCCTGATGTGCTTCTTTTTGTGTGTCGCAAGGATGCCGAATGAAGTCTTTTGTTGTGCCTCAGGCACGCAAGATGCCCCGCGGCAATGCACCCCCCTCAGCTCCACCCAGGACTCCCAGACTCCTAGACAAGGTCGCCTCCCGGAGCCGGTTCCTTGTCTGTTGAGGCCCTCAGCCCGCCTGTCCTACCCCTCGTCCTCGTCTCCGCGGCTCAGCGAGCTGGGAGAAGGCGGCAGACGAGCGGGGGGGGCTGAGAGATTCCAGCACAAGAAGCCGAAGGCTTGTTTCCGACTCCACGAGGCTGCGGCGTGTGCTCCCTTGACCACGGTCTCGGCTGTGACGGAGTCGCTTCCCGGAGACCACTGGCACAGAAACACTGAAGCCGAGAGCCGATGTTTTTAGATGCGCTCCTCCTTGGGCTGGTTGCCCCGCAGCTTGAAGACCGCCTGCAGGCTCCAAAGGCAGGCTCCAAAGTCGGAGAGGAGAGAAAGGGGTGGCCTTTAGAGTGGGCTCCTGAGCATCCACCTTGCCGCACAGACATGCGCAGATGCCATCGACACGGCCATGCCAGGTCCAAGGCTGGGAGAACTCGCGGCGTTCGGGGGCTGCGAACTTCCGGATTTCGAAGCAACTTTGTGGCATCCCTGCGAGAGCAAGAATCGTCTTACAGCCAACATCAGTTACGTACACTTAAGTTGGAACATCTTCCAAAAAAGCCTGCAAAGCTTTTTTTGGGGGCGTTTTGCAAACGCGACGTGCGAAAGCGTCCGCAGTTCTGCGTACAGCAGATTCGCGAAGTTGGCTCCTTTAAGGATCCCGTGCGTTTGAGAAACTCCACAGAAAATCAAAAGCACACCCAAAGCCAAAACTCGGGTGATCTACCCGACCTCTCTCAGAAGACGGATGAAGAGGGGCTCAGGTTTTGACTGTGACATAGTCATGTTCTTCGGATTTAAGCATCTGCTCAATCTTCTCCAATCTCCTCAAGATTTGGTCCGTCTGCTCGCGCCCTGCCACCTGCACGTCAAGGAATGACTGCTGAGAGCGTAGGAGCGCCCCCAGTGCCCTGGAACCCTGCTGATCTGGGCTCACGCTCTGGCTCACTGGTCCGAGCTCTTCCGAGGGATGCTCCATATGCTCCTCAGTGACAGCAGCAGAAGGGACAGCATCACGTTTAGTCTCCCCGCTTTACACTTTTCGAAAATTGTGTCGAAGCTAGAAGAGCCGTGCTTGATGCGACCCGATATCTGACGAGCTAAAGGTTGGATGAACCAGCCCTGAAGCAACCCGGTGGATGTCTTCCGCAATCTCCATGAGACCGTCGCGAAAGTTGCCATGGCGGCTGACCTTCCTGCCTTCCTCGATAGTTTTGAACAGGGCCAGGCGCGACACATGTGCCAGGATACCCAGGATCGTAAAGAGCATGGTGATGAGGAAGGGTCCCAGCATACCCTGGACTGTCAAAGCCACCGGCTGGCTACTATTACGGAGCTCAGCATTGATGTTGGTGCAGTAGTCCTGGGAATAAAGTGCAGAAAAGGGGTCCAGGGGCTTTCAAGCTCTTTTCTTAATCAAGCGAGAAGTTACTGAGATCTTTAACACACCCAGTCCGTGGGCTGATGCTCATTGATGGCCCGCTGCACCTGGCCATCTGCAGCGGCAGAGCTTACAGCATAATTTAACTGGCGCGCCCACTTGTTTGAAACGGACAAGCCCACCATGTGAGAGCCGATTGCACCATCGATTCTTTCGAGACCACAGAAGCTGCCACCGTTAGACGATTGGGCAGACACGAAGTCTTCTTCCGAAAGGACGGCAACCTGGCACTTGCTGCCACTCTCCAAGCTGACTGCAGGCAGAATGTCTGAGCGAACGGTGACTTCCACATGGTTGGCCGTAGGTACACCGTTGACCTCCAAGGTTATCGAATGGCTTGGGTGGGCGCAGATCTTGTAGTTGCTTCTGATAGCATCCTGAAGGCTCTCCACACTTGGGGCAAGGCGTCGTTCCTCAACCAGAAACGAGGCCAAAGTGGCCGTGTAGCCACAAACGAAAAGAATGCACATAAAGGCAAGGCCGAGACCAACAATCCGACCGCCCAACGTGCAAGGCTCGAACCGAGACTCGCACATGAAGAGGCTGTAGAATGCCCGGTACACTGCTTCTGTAGCCTTCTCCCTCTTGCCATGCAAGTCCTGAAATTGTCCATTCGGAGACGTTTCGAAGTATGTGATGATAAGAGAACTCGACGTGACGACAGCTAGCAACGTAAGCCAAAGATTGGGACTGAAGGGTCGAAAGGCTGCACCAAGCATTTCGCTGAAGGAAACGTCTTGGGCTGTGTCCACCACTGGGCCTACCAAGATGGTGGGCTCCGACCAAAGATTCACGAAGGGTGAAGCATCGGTTCGTCTCGGCAACATCACCAGCGAAGCCACGCAAACATCCACATATCCCATTCCGGTAGCCCAAATACAGAGGTCAAAATTCGAGCGCTGACCCATGCGCTCCAACTGGTCTCGGACGGGGTCGGGCACCGCTGTAACCTGCTGCACTGTGATCCCAGCGTTGCCTGCCACCAGGTCGAAGAAACGCCCCACAGGTCCGTAGCCCCGTTGACCCTCACAGGGCTGACCGGCAAAACCGGGGCAGTAGTTCCCCTTCCAGCCCCCGGTGTTGCCCAAGAACTGCACTCGCAGAGTCTGACCACGGAGGCTCTCCGTAATGTTGCTACGCGAGAATTGGTCACGAAAGCCACAGGTGGTGTAAGACCAGGCAAGTCCTGGGATGGAGCTACTCATCTCATGAGTGACTGTGCAAGTGGAGGGCTGTACGTAGCACCAACTGTCCCTGCACCACGCAGGTGCAGAAGTCTTGTTGCACCTCAAGCAGAGCACTTTCAAACTTTCGTGAAACTGAAGAATGTCGATGGACTTGGCTGGCAATATTCAGGGTTGATTTGGGCTTCTATCCTGGAAGCTAAGAGCCGAACTCCGGAAAGTCTGCGGACCCATTGATGTCATGAGCGCCGCAGCTGAAGCCATAGTCGTCACGGGTGAAGTTGTAGCAAGGACATTGCTCCGCTCCCTCTGGCTCGGCGCTGACCAACACCAAAGAAAACGCGATCCAAAGTATGGACCGCCGCATGAGGAGGACCTCTTGAAGGTTCCCCAACTACCACATCGCTTGAGCATTCACCGGCCGTCGTTGGGTCATGACACGAGGCTCTGGTCAAGTCCAGGACATAGCTAATATACAACGTCAACACCTTCAACTTGACAGTGCAACAGCCTCTCACTCGGTCAGATGAAACAACCGGCTGCTTGACAATGAGCCCAGTCCAGCCTTGGCGTACATCTTCCAAAACTCAATGGACCAAGAGTTGTTTCCGACATCTCGCCTGTGTTCCATTTGAGCTGCACAACGCTCTCTGACGCCTCCCCGAACAAACTACCTGGCATGCCTATCGGCTCAAGACACCAATGGCATATCTAGAAAGGAGCTTGCACCTTGCACAATCTAGGGAGCACCCCCAGCGCTAATGTACTTGCAACTCCCCACCCTCAAGTTCATGATTCGTGGAAGCGCATTGCTTGGGGGTCCGTTTGCCGAGACCCCAGACCCCAGATACATGTGATATATACATATATATATATACATACATACATATATACATATGTACATATATACATATGTATATATATATACACATATGTATGTGTGCATACATACATATATATATATATATAAGTATGTATGTGTATGTGTATGTGTATGTATATGTATTATTGTGTGTTACATTATACTATACTATATTATATATATATAACAGGCCAGCAGCTTACAAGTGTCGTAAAGCTTGCTCCCAGTCTCTCGTAAGTCGTAAGTGATCACTCGTCGAAGCAGCGAGGGCCCAAAAGCTGGAGCGCCTTGGGCGAGATGGTAAAAGTCTTTTCCGACTTCTGGCCCTCTCCTTTCGAGCCAAAGGGCGCGTCAGCTCGCGGACATGAGTCACTGCCCCAAGAAGCGGTCAAGTCAAGACTTGGGCTTTCACGCCCCGAGCTGGCTTTGCGCTGGCGGAGCTTTCTTTCTGCCACTTCAGCCAGGGCGATGGCGGCAATCTGGACCAAGCAGCGTCAGGTGAGGTCACTCTGCCGGGCCAATGTCTGCGAAAGCATGCAGACCGGTGCAGAGCGATGCAGACCGAAAGAATGCCGTGGGCCGATCATCACTCATCTCCCCGTGGGAGCTTCTATTTGTGCATCCATGGCCATATGCGAGTGATTCGTCAAGTTCAGCCGAGGCAACTTCTGTGAAATTACCTGGGACTCCTGCAGGCAATGCTGCCTCTGCTCAGCACAAGGCCCCATCAGTCTGATTTGTACACAGGAGCAGGGTGCTCCACACACATTGGCGGTTCTGTCCCTGATCAATCCAGCAAGCAGTCCTGGGCGAATGTTTCAACCTACTGCTGGATTCAGCGATCGCAACATGTCGGGGAATGTTCTTGCCGGATGCCTGCACTAAGTGTGTCCAAGACACTCGCAGGCCGACTGCTCCAACCCCTGACAGCCACCGCAGGCTGTCTTGTCATCGCAAGTGTGCGGCTTCGGTCTCACATCTTTGCCTCAGCTTTCTGCTGGGTCCGGCCCTCCGGCGCACCAGTACAGGACGTGCAAGCTGGGAAATGGACGCACAAGCTGAGCTTCTCGTGGTTGTGCACTGCCAGCTGGATCAATTGTGATAGAAACACCTCAGCTGAACACATTACATCAAGCGCTCATCGGCAGTGTCAGATGATTGCAGGGGCACGGCCATAAGCCGACGAAGCCAAGGCCACTACAGCTTGCAGTACACGCATCCAAGTCATTGCAAGGATCACAGTGAGTCATGTAGCCTGATGCTAGAGCCTGCAAGAGTGTCAGCCATAGACATGCGTTCCCTGGCCAGAAGACTAGAAAAGTTTGGGTCCAGATCAGCTCCGGAACTTCTTTTCGATGCTGCAACATATCTCTCACGGCTCGCTCACATCCTGTGCGCTCTCGGCGTCAAGCAGCCATATCCTCGAAGGAACCAGAAGAGCCACAATGAAATGGCACCAGAGACACTTGGGGGCTCACGTTTTGTCCGTCCGAATCAGACTAGCCGGGCAGGCCGAGCTGCCAAGGCTTGCAGGGTTTGCAATCGCGGCTTCTTTGAGCATCCCCTCTTTGGTTCCGCACGTCGAGCCTGGCGCTGTCAAGGGCTTTGTTGACCGAAGCAGCGGCCGCAGCACCCGTCGCCACGATCACCTCATCTGTCGTCCGTCGTCTCGGTGACTCAGCGAGAAAACGGGAGCCTGGACTTAGCGGCTGACTGCCGTCCGTGCTGCATTCATGAAGTCAGGAGCTGCAATGGCAGCCTGCCAGCTGCAAGTGCTCAAGAAGCCGAAGCACGGATTTACCTCACCTCTGCATCGTCGTCTTCAACTGGCAAAATCACCTGCGCTTCCAAGGGTCCATGCAACCAAGGAGACCAGGTAAAACCCTAAATCCTAAACCCTAAACCCTAAATCCTATACCCCTAAA